ATAAGCTGAAAGATAGGTTAGCAGGCGAAATTCACATATGAGATCATGCATAGACTCACCCAGCATCTGGTAGTTCGAGGGGCATTGAGGAAGATGAGAATAAAAGCAGCCCAGAAGCCACCAAACATGGCCAAAAGACCAAAAATCATTCTGATCTGGAGAGTGGTCGGGATGAGGTTGCCAAGGGCCTTCATTCTCAAGAAGTTGGGGAAGGCATCGCGTTCCATAGCCTGAAAGACGTAGTCCTTGGCAACGTCAAACACCTCTGGATCGTCTCTACCAAAGTCCTCAATGGAAGTCGTGACGTCCTGAGTAATGGAGCCTGGAAGAATGATTTCACGCTCTGCGCCCGGAAGGAGAAAGGTGTAGAGGATCTTCTCCGCCGAAGCCCGGATATCCTGTCTCGCGACGGTGTGTGCGGGAGAGTTGGAATCTGTCGTCAGGTCGCGCGGAGTGCTGAAAGCCCCACTGGGACGGCTGCGATGCTCTCCAGTGCTGCTTTGAGGGGAGTCTTGGGCCTCTTCTCTCAGGTAGGCCGACATCTGTGCATCCTGGTTCTTCTCCTTCTCAGTGGCATACATTGATGGGCCGGCGGCGGAATGGCTCATGTCACCAAGTCCATCCAAGATCTGAGAAGACCGCTTGGAGCCCGACTTATCCAAGTCAGGTGTTCCAACTAGGACGGATCTGCGGAGTTCGCGCACATAGTGGCGGCACAAGGACATGTGCTGAGCAACATCGAGCCTATCCTTCGTTAGTGAACAGACGCGTGATTCTGGGATGCCATTTGCAAATACCAGAAATCGAGATAATCGACGGATTTTTGCTGATCTCTCATGAAAATGTAGAACGAGAAGAGGTCGACGGGCGGCAGGGTTCGACGACTCAAGACCTCAAACAGAGTCGGCAATCGGTTCCGGTGCAGGTCTGGCTGAGGAGATGGCGAGCCGGAGGCCCCAGTTGATCGGTCCTCCATGATATCAAGCGGGTCGGATTCGCGAGAAGAATCGAGAAACGAAATCGGAATTATGTAGTGATTGATGAAGAGAAGTCGGACGAGAAGGAAACGGCGGCGACAGAGTCGCTGTCGTTGGGTGGTGCGAAGTCGAAGTTTGGTCGTCGGAGAGGCGCGGTACGGATATCGTAGATGAGGTTTGGCAGGTGCACTCCGCAAAGGTTCGGTCGTAGCGCGGCTGTCTACTCGTCGGTTGCTAGGCTTCCCCCAGGTCGGTTTGTGTACTGAACGAGCGTAAGAAGGGAAGGATCGCGCACGGCGCAAACTGACAGCGTCAGTGTGATTGACGATGGCGCTGCAAGGCGTGATGGCTTGAGTCTTGGATGCCGTTGGGATACGGCATAACAGCAGATCAAGCAAGCACTCAGACCCAGACACTAATTTCGTTCAGGTTGTCTGGTCAGGGGGGATACGACCCACCTCTACGTACTTTCCTCCGAAAAAGCGCGCTTTCCCACTGTCAATGTGGTCCCACCCACACACGAGTCCACTTCACTGCAGCGCCTTAGCTTCTCAGGCACTCAGACGCTTTCTTGAGCAACGTCACGTGCCCCATCTCGAGAAAAGAGGGACAGGTGGAAAGAAAACGCCGCATTACCTCAGCTACCCAGCCACAAGCACAGGCCCCGCCTCAGCCACGGAAAAGCAGGTAGGGCTTGCAATTTCTCGCTTCACATTTTGTGGGATGACCTGCCGGACTACGCAAAACCATCACATCGACAACTTCTTAGACAATTCGACTCCGCGATCCCGACGACCGAACCGCCCAACGAGAGGTACCGCCAAAATGTCGACCAAGCAGAAGAAGCCCGCCGGAAAGCAGCGTTCCGCCATCGCTGATGTCGTCGCTCGCGAGTACACCGTCCACATGCACAAGCGCGTTAGTATTTCCCCGAGGAGAGAAAAAAAAAGGACGCCGCCGTCGACAGCGAATCCAATGGCCCACGATGGCGATCCGGTAGCATAGCATAGCAATGCTGACAATTTTTGCTCTGTAGCTCCACGGCGTTTCCTTCAAGAAGCGCGCTCCCCGTGCCATCAAGGAGATCAAGGCTTTCGCTCTCCAGGCCATGGTACGTCTTGCTTGTCCCTCTCGAACCCATCCCGAAATTTTGCATCCAAGACCCTACAACACCAATCGGCCCCATATCGAACCACACTACATGGATAGATACCACAAGAATGCTCACTAACCTTGTGATTCGTATAGGGTACCTCCGACGTCCGCGTTGACCCCCAGCTGAACAAGAAGGTCTGGGAGCAGGGCATTAAGGGCGTTCCCTACAGACTCCGCATCCGCATCTCCCGCAGACGAAACGACGAGGAGGGTGCCAAGGAGAAGCTGTACAGCTACGTCCAGGCCGTCAACGTCAAGAACCCCAAGGGTCTCCAGACTGTTGTCGTTGAGGAGTAAAAAGTTCTCTTTGGGATGGTTTCAGGGCGGCATAAAGGCATCGGAGTTGCATTCGGCATTCTAGTCTCACATACAAAATCGACGGAAATGTGAACAACGCTTGATTCCCCACACGACTTCGACGACTTTTTACTAGTATTGGACCCCGCGATGTGGTGGAATGTTATTTTTTGTCTGCGCCAAAGTGCGCGCGAAGGAAGCGTTGCGTATGTGTCAGGCAATGGTGAACGATGACGAAGGCTTTTTGGGACATCATCAATCTCTTGTGGTTCTTGTAACACACATCGTCCAACAGGGTCTTCTTTTTTTATCGTCTTGGTCGCGGTCTGCCAGAAGCAGATGAACAGGATATACCCAATCCTGAAGGCCAAGTCCCGACCATGCAATGCAGTCCAATTCCTAACAAAAAGAGTTCCAAAACAACCGGCCCGTAATCATACATGATAGACTCCAATTCTCCAGTGCTCGAAACAATGTTTTCTCATCCTCGTGTCATCCACAAGCAAGCACGCGCTCACTCGTCCTCAACATCGCGGTGACGAGCGAGGACCTTACGCTTGAACTCTTCGGGGTCCTTGTCCCACAACTCTGCGGCCTCGCCGTTGAGAGGAGAAGCGCTGACTCCATATTAGCATTGGCAAACGAACCACTTTTTGCCGGGGCAACTCACTTGTTTGGCTCGCCCAGCAGACTCTGCAAACTGAGGAGTACAGTTTGAATGTTATAGGCGGGTGTCCACTTGTCCTTGAGGATATCCAAGCAGATGCGGCCAGAGAAGTCGAAGTTGGGGTGGTAGATGGGCGTCGTGAAGAGCACCGTTGGCGCAGCGTAGGGGTAGTTGTTGGGGAACGACAAGCTGAGCTTGAGCGTCAGGCCGGCGTAGGGAGTCTGTTCGGGTCCCTCAATCGTCGCCGTCCACGACATGAGGTTGCCGTCTGCCGAAGGGAATGCTGAGACGCCGGGAGCGGGAGAAGTCATAAGCTGCATCAATTCCGTCTGCAATCTGTAGTCACGAAATTAGTCCGTCTGGTCGTAGATGAGACGGCAACGTCTTGCAACGAGATATTCATACCTCTTGGTGACGCTCTGAGCATCAGGTCCCTTCCTGGCGCCAGCAATCTTAGCTGCTGGAACGCTTCCGGGAGCGGAGTTCTGGGTGTCCTCCATGCTGTAGTCCATTGTCGCAAATGTCGTGAGGTGGAAAGAAGCAATCGCAAAGAGCACTGGTCGAGGCGAAGGGGGCGTCTTGAGGCTGGGAGGCTGGGATGAGAACTGGGATGAAGCAGGTAGGTGTTTGCTAAGGCAAGGTGATATCCGGCCAGCCAGTACTTATGTGCAGGGAAATGCAATGTGCGGGAAGATGGTCAAGGGGAGAGGTTGGAAGCTTGCAGCGTCAAGAACAACAGAAGGCAATTGTTCTGTAGGGCGAGAAGGGCAGGGATGGGGAATCGGAGACGCTGGTACCTGGGCGACGCGCTGACTTTGGCATCCGCTTTTGGACTAGCGTCGTCGCTGCCGTTACCAAAGTCAACGGCGAGTACGAAGCGATGACCTTGCCTTACATCTTAATTCGAGCCTTGATCGCACCTTTTTTACGACAAATTCAACTTTCAATGCTTTAATAATTTCCTCCGGATCAACCATGACTTATGAAAGGTTTCTGTTCTCCAAGAGCGGATTGGACATGCGTTTTCAATTGAGTATGTACTTCGCGATTGGCCGTCTGTGATTTACGGAATCACTGGTCACCTTGTGATACCTAGTGACTTGGGCAAAGGCCATGGTGCTGCAGTTTGACGGATACCTCGTTCGCTATTTCAATCCTACATACCTAGTTGGACGTTTCTTCCGCTGAGCAATGAATGTGTCCAACCAAAGGAAAGCATTGTACACTCAAACACAAGGTTATAGCAAATGATGTATTCAATTATCAGCTACTAGAAACACCTGAACCGCAAAGTTGTAGTACAGAGCCTGTACTATGTGTCTATAGGTAAAACGTCTTCCTTGAGTAGGTACTTAGTGTTCATGCCCTCCCTTGGCATCAAATTTCGGTCCTCGTAAGCATCGATACCATGTTCAAAGATCAACAATACCCCTAGTCATATCTGCTCTGCAGGCTCAAGTATAAGTGATATCGAAGCTGGCATATATACCACATTTTGAGGAGATGAACTTAATCTGAGTCTAATGCCAATGTTCATTTCTGCTTTACGTAGGTATGCAATACGCTCACCTGTCAAGCGAGAGTTCCAAAGCACACATAATACAGGCTTTGTTAAATAAGTCTAGTCTGTGGAACTTCCTGTGTTTTGCAGCATATTCACTTCAGAATAAAGTGCTCCAGAAAGAGCATTGTACAAGGTAGTAAAGGAAGCCACGCTCCTTCCCACTTTTACACTTCCCTTTTTTTGTTTTTCCATCTATCCTCAGGCCTTCTTGCCCTTAAATTCTTTTTTCCACTTCTACACCTTCCAAACTTATCTCACCTCAGCTTCACAAGTCTAGTGTTATTTTACGCACTATCGTCCTTAATCGTTTGATTTTCAGCTTTTGTGACAATCTGAGAAGATGGATGAGGAAGATCTGATCGAGTTCGGTCCTGATCCTATTGAGGAAGATCTGATCGAGTTCGGTCCTGATCCTATTGAGGAAGATCTGATCGAGTTCGATCCTGATCCTATTGAGGAAGATCTGATCGAGTTCGATTCTGAACCTATTGAGGAGATGAAACACCTTTGCTTGCGGGAGGACTGTGTTTGTACACGTCACGGTGTTCAGGAAGATGGCGCAACTGCGTAAGTCACACCTTCCTATACCTAACTGGCGAAAGTTCAGTGATAAACTAACTTAATAAAGACTTCTAAGTACCACAAACTCCTCATCCGAACACCAGGTCATCGTCTCGACCCCGTCATTGAACAACACTCAATCCGGTGTGCAGACAACTCACAATACGACCAGCCCCACCGGAATTCAGGTCGCTCTGCCAAAGAAAGCAGCCGAGAAGAAAGAAGTTGCCACAGCAAAGCAGTACAAGCGAGACCCGAACGTTTGCTTGGTCGGATTCCATAACCACTATTTGTGGGAAACGCTTTATGAAGCAGGTCACCGCTGTGACGTCTGCAAGAGGATGCAAACCAAGCACATCCATACCTGCCCCAAATGCCGTTTCAAGATTTGTTGGGCCTGTCGATGTGACTATGGGCTAACCAACAAGACGGCCAAGTAAGTGCAATGATATGTTTACATAGTTACTATCCTAACATACTGCAGGGAATTGCGCCGCCGACGTAACCGAGTCTAAGGGAGGCTTTATGATGCGGCTCAGTGATCAACTGAGGCAGAGGCAGGAGCGCTGTTCTTTCATTACGCGAAAATTGTGTTCCAAAGAGCAGAGAGAACAGTTTCACTAACTTGCGCAAATTGGCCAGCCGCAGCATCCGATTGCTGAACTCTCGTACGAGAGTTTGGGGCTCCAGTTGTTTGCAGTTTGATTTCTTGGCGGAAATGGAAAGGGGAGAGAGACTGAGGGGTTTCTAGGCCTTAGATTGGCGAATGCAATAATCAGATCGCAATTCATTTTCTAGACCTGTTATCATTGAGGTGCTAGTGATCACCTTCCAAGGTGACTTGATAGCTTGTTGGTCTTGGTGGGAGGTTAGTTTTGGCCACAAAAGCGGCGACACTATAGGGCAGGGATCCTGCTTCTTTGGAGGGGTGTGTTGGAGCAGTGGCGGCGGACTGTTTACCTGACCAACACTGCAGCAACCGCGATAAGAGGGCTTATCGGCCAATGAATTCGCGTTGATGCAGGCGGCAATGAAACACCTTCCATGACTCCAAACAAAACACGCCAAAAGCTCTTTACGCGGTCAAGACGCGCTCCAAAGTGCCACCGCGGGGGGACAAACGACCCAAGACATACACCTCAATCAACATGGTGAGTTCTTGTTGACGCTGGACCCTTGGACCCTTTGTGCGGAATTCGCCCTACGCTAGCTTGATACGTCATCTATGCATTTCATTTTGCCTGGCATCGTTTGCCTGACAGCACCGTGAATCGATATCCCTACTCGCCATTCCATTTCCCCTGTGCTCGGTCGGTCTCAGTCATGAATTAGTCTGCCGCAGACTCTCTCCCAAAACCATCTGAACTTCTCGTCTCACTCAGCAAAGATGCAGCAATCACAGCTGGACCCTCTGCCCAGCGACTTGCCCTTCAGGGTCATCTCAAAGACTATTGGGCGAGGGGCTTATGCATCGTAGGAACTCTACCCCTCAACCTCACGTCCGATGAACCCCGCCACTGACTGTGGGCATCCAGAATCAAGAAAGCTGTTCCTCTGGACGCAAACACGCCCGTCTTCGCTGTCAAATTCATCCACAAGGGTTACGCCGTCAAGCATGGCCGCGTGTCGGCAAAGCAGCTCCTCATGGAGGTGTCACTCCATTCACATGTCGGCCAGCACCCGAACATCATTGAGTGGTTCGCTTCGGGAGAGGACAGCAATTGGCGATGGATTGCCATGGAGTTTGCCGATGGAGGCGACCTTTTCGACAAGATTGAGGCAGACGTGGGCGTTCACGAGCACATTGCTCACCTCTACTTTCTGCAGCTCATCAGCGGCGTGAGCTTTATCCACTCAAAGGGCGTGGCGCACCGAGATCTGAAGCCTGAAAACATTCTGCTATCCGAGACGGGAAGTCTGAAGCTCGCTGACTTTGGCATGTCAACCATGTTCGAGTATAAGGGTCAACGAAAGACGAGTTCCACCCTTTGCGGGAGTCCACCATACATCGCGCCTGAGATCCTCGCGTGCGGCAAGGCAGAGAAGAAGGCATCCCCGGACGCAATCAAGTACTCGCCAGATCTCGTTGACATCTGGTCATGCGGGGTTATTCTCTTCGTACTCTTGGTTGGCAACACGCCCTGGGATGAGCCGTCGAAAGGTAGTTGGGAGTACCAGGAGTACGTGCGAACGAACGGCCGCAGCACAGATGCGCTTTGGGGGAGGATACCGTCAGATACCTTGTCGCTGCTTCGAGGCATGATGAATATTGACCCGAGCAAACGCTTCTCTTTTCGACAGATCCGACAACACCCGTGGTATACCAGGCAAAACCCACATTTGACATCGGACGGCACGATTTCCGACCCGATCAACTTGGCCACGCAGATGCTAGAAAGTCTCAAGATCGATTTCAACCAGCAACCTACAGCCTCCCAAGGCAACCCGTCCAGCAGTGATCCCATGGATATCGATAGTGCCGGCAAAGTCTCCTTCACCCAGCCTGAAACACCCATCAACGACGTCGCGTGGGATTGGGAGCGCCCTGCCCTCAAAGTCATGAACCCCATTGCCGTCTCCTCCACACAACCTCTGACCCGAAGTGTGAGCGGTGTCGCTAACCGGCGCTTGTTCATGGAATCCCTCGCAGAGGAGCCTTCCATCAGCCAGTTCTCGCAGACCCCTGGTGTCCCTCTAACACTCACCCAAGCGGCCCGTCGCTTCCGCGACATCGTGCCATTCGAGTCCCTCACACGCTTCTTCTCTCACGTGCCGCCCCAGCTCATCGTGCAGATGCTCAGCGACGCCCTGCATCAGCTCAACGTCCCGCTGCCGCCCGTCACGCCGAACCTGTACTCGGACCACATCATCATCATCAAGATCAAGACGCTCGACGCGCGTCGACAGTCGCTGCATGGCGAGATTCACGTCGACAAACACAAGCTGCCTGAGGAGCAGGAGCTGCTGGATATTCGGTTCGTGAAGATCAAGGGAGACCCGTTGGAATGGCGCCGGTTCTTCAAGAAGATTGTCGTCCTCTGCAAGGAGGGCGTGTACGTGCCGGATGCATAGGGAGGATGCCGGCTTGGATAGAGTGATGGATTGAAATGATGTTTACGCTGTATAGATGTATAGATAAGACCTGTCACGAATGAAGAAGGGAGAATGATGCCCTTAGTAATGGTACTATGAGTCAATACAATACAACCGCTAAGGGAGGCTGAATGACGGCATCAAAGAAGGAGAAGAAACACCACCTCTGACTCCAAAGGTCCATGGTCTAAAAGGGGATTCATGCGGTGACAGAATAAAGGAATAATGCAACTATGATCTTGAAACACTCCGAAACATACCGGAAGAAAACAACGCAGTTCCTCTATCTGAATTTCAAAGAATCAAAGCAAACCCAAAAAACCAGAAACCTCCATTTCCTTCCGAATGCAAAGTTCGCACCTACCAACTCCGTTTACAAACGCACTAATACTGCTACGCTAGACTGAGCCATACCCATCTGTGGCCTCCTACAAATCATTCATCTCGTCATCTTCATCCTCCTCATATTCCTCACTGTCGTTATAACCGCCATCGTTCTCATCGTCCACGTACTCTGCGTCTGGATCGATTTGCTGTTGAGGGTCAGAATAAACCACGTGGAAGAAGCAATCTCCATTGGGGAGGTCTTCTTTGACGATCCGGATGAGCGTTTTGGGGCTGTCCGATCTCAGAGGAAGATATCCCTTATGTTTGCCTGTCTTCTTATAGGCCTCAATAGCTCTTTGCTCATGGTCGTGATTGACTCTGTCAAAACATGTGCCCTCATCGCATCTATCTTGACCCACGTACTCGAGGGAAGGATGCCATGTTCGAACAGTTTCCATGATCAATCCAAACATCTTCATGAATGTTGGACCATGGCCAGTCAGGCCTGTCGTGTTTAGTAGATTCCTGTTACATTGAGGACTTCGACAAACAAACATTTGTAGGTAAGCATGTACCATCTCATGAATCAGAGACGCGACGTTCTTCTCAAACGAAATGCGATTGACCCTGTTGGTCAGATTCTCGTCGTAACGTATTTTGGAAAAGAGTCGAATTTTGGCAAACCACCTGCCCCCCTCACAAACACGTTCTGTATCTGCAAAACAGATTTTCCCAAAGTCGCCTCTCAAATGACCAAAGCCTGTGCACAACTCCACGTGCGAGTACCTGGGAATGTTAGTGCCAATTGGCTTGTGAGGGTATCTTGTCAAAGCCCCAAAGAAGAAGAAATCGTCAAGGCGAACCATCATTTGGTGCAACGAGTCTTCGAGTTGACGCGCCAAGGACTCGACTTCCATCCGCGAGTATCGACTTTGCTCGAATGCTTCGAGCTCCTCGTTGGTAAGAGCATACCAGGCTTTAGATACGGCCAGCGCGCCCAGGAAAAGTTGGACAAATTCACATCGAGCCACCTCTTGCTGCGGTCGAAGCTGGTTGCACCAGTAAAAGCTTTTGCAGGTGAGGTTCAACAGAGGTGTCGCAGCATACATCGCGACGAACAGAGGGCGGTAAGGCGGTAAATCCCGGGAAGTCGTAAGTAAGAGAATGTGAGAAGGCTTCGGGAAGGGAGGGTGATGACATTTTCCCACCTCCTGATACTGGGGAGCTATGTTCTGGGACTCTTCGCTGACAGGGTTTTGGGTTCCCTGATCAACTGGCATCGAATATTCCATGGTGCTGAGTTGCGAGTTGCTGTTGTCTACTTATGTGTTTACGGTACACGAGTCACAAATCTGATGAGTTGCTGATGAGTTGCTGATGAGTTGCTGAGGAGTTGCTGATGAAGGAGTGGCTCGAAGTTGTCATTGTGCTCGTCTTTTGTATAACATCGTAGCGACTATTGGATTCTGCAATAGATAACGCCCGACTTCTTCATCGTTCTAGTTCATCAAAAAGAGAAAAGAAAAAATTGGGAAGAGTTTCATGGCCTTGAACTCGGGACCTCGAAGGAGCCCAGGTCTGAAGCTTGATTGTGACATCAAACGGTACGCCAGACCACACTCAACTCGGCTCTCATGTTTTTGTTCTGGGAAGAAATTCGAAAGTGTCATAAGTGATATAGTAGTCTATCCTGGTTCTCAAACTCGTCCTCTTGGGTTTCGTCCCCACTCGAGATGCCGCTTCTTAGTGCATTCACATTCTCATCTGATTTGAAGACCTCTGCTCAGACCACCTTGTAACTTGGTATTCTTCGTAGATAGAAATTTCCTTATGACGAGCAAGCTGAAGTGCGCAGTGCAGAGAAGGTCAGGAGTAACAGGACAACTAGGAAACAGACAAGAAGAGACCAGAGCAAGTCTTTGGCTTTTCTTTGAACAAAATGCCGTTTGAGACGGAGTGCCGTTTCGCTCTGCTTTGTCTTCTACATGAAGTTTATTGGCTTCGAAATTTGTCAGCAGATCAAAACTTATAGGCAAAGAAAGGAGCTAGACGACTTCAGAGTAAAGCAAGCCACTTAAAGAATCATACCTAGTAAAGCTTTGCGATGGCCTCTGACGTAACCGGTTTTCGAGACTAATTAAGATCCTCGGAAGCCCCCCCATGCCGGTTACACAACTCAACAAACAAGCTGGGGGTTAATTATCGGGGGCCCGGCAACTCAACATTTTGCAAGATTACAAGCAAACACACCTGATTCAAGTATCGGTGTGCCTTTAATTCGCCAAACTCGAAGTTTGCTCCATGGATGACCGGGACTGCTGATCTAGAATTGTTCCAGAACATGGCCATGTCCGAAAAGAGCATCCCGTACGGAGTACTCGTATCAAAAATGCATATAAGTCTGGGAGAATGGGGGTTTGTCACGTTGTGCCGTCGTTTCCAGAGGGTTACAACTATTACGTGGGATGCGTGGTAGTCCCCCCTTTCCCAAATGATCATACTCAATTACCCTGCACAATAAGTTTGCTGGGTCCAAGGGGGGTAAGGTAGTGAGAGCTCCGCAACCCCCGGGTCCCGTGGCGAGGGAGCGGCTCTTCCCGCAAACTCTGTCAGTCCATCGGACAAAACCCTGGATTAAAAAAAGGGAGGCTTTTCCTCTTTTTGATTTTCTTCGATGATGTGCATAATGATACAGGTAGCATCGCCAAAATTTCCTGGAGAAGGGAGACAACAAAAAGGGCGCTTCAGGTCTCCAGTGTGGTGACGTTTGATGAGTGATATATTATGGGCGCGCGTATCGAACGAAGCCTTGCAAGGGAAATGACGAGTCACATGAGTCAAATACCAATTGCCGGAAAATCCTCTTTCTTTTTGATCTGGTGATGCCCAACACTAACCCATTTTTTCTCCTTTTTTGATAATGCAAAAAGAGTAAGAAACCTTGTCGACTTGGCGAAAGCCACGCTCTTTAGTCCGGTATCCGACTCGTGAATTTTCTGGGATGATTGGCCAGGACCCTTGCAAAAGCGCATAACTAAACCGAACCAGAGCTGGCTGACAAGTGGTTCGGAGGGGAGGGGGGGGGGGGGTTTCGCTTGGGCAACCGCAAAAGGGGGGTGTGGTCGATCACCAAAGCTGGAAGTTTGTGTGGTCTTTTTCAGGGGATCGAATCCTTCTTACGACAGTACACTAATCCTCGTATAAGAGGCGCACTAACGAAATTATGTACAGATCAAGAAAGCAAACACATAATGGACAAAAGTTTCCTGAGCAAGATGGAGGAGGTGTAGTGTTCATTAATTGAGTTTGTGAGTTGTACGGATACATTTGTTGAAAATCATAAAAAAGAAGAAAAAAAAGGACAAGCTCTTTTTCGCTCTCTCTCGTAAATAGTACAAAACTTTCTCGCTCGGCACTACAGATATCCGATAACCTAAGATTGCAAATGCTACGTTCAGTCGCTCAGCGTGCTCATCCAAGTAGTCGATAAAAACAAAACAGCCACACCAACGACAAGGCAGATCGATAGTCAAACCCTCGTACCAAAGAAATAGAAACAAAACCGAACAATAAATAATCAGAATGCCTCCCAGTAGGTATCTCATGCTGCTTCCAAATCGCAATAACATCAAATCGTAAACAGTGTGTGTGGGTGTGTAAGTCATAAAAGGGGAAGAAGGGCAAAGCTTGCGAAGCTTCATGCCTTCACCTTTTCATGACCGCCAAAGATCTCCGCCATGAGATGCTCGTACGGAGCCAGAGGATGCTCCTCGGCCAAGTCCATATCAGCCATCTTGTACCGTGGGTTCGATGTGTGCATGGCGTGGAAGCCTCGGGCGCACTCCTGCATAGACTGCTCGTACGTGCCCCTCCCCTTGAGGATGGCGGAGGCTCTGTTGGCGGCATCTACCGTGTCGGTGGCGACGTCTTCCAGGACTGCGAAGACATCCTTGCCGGTTGCCATACGGCGGTTGTGAATATAATTCCTGGTCTCGCCGCCAAGTTCCTCCTTGTAGAAGCTGATAAAAAGGCACGCGGTCAGACATACGTCGATGGATGAAGAAAAAGCAAATATACACTAACAAGTGTCCGTGTGTTATAGATATTGGCGGGGGGGGGGGGGTGAATGACTTACGAGAAAACGTCGTTCGAAATGTCGATCACCCTGGCCATGTCAGGAATGGCCTCCAGGTATTGACTCACGTCCGGGTATTGGGCTTTGGGGAAGCAGAAGACGGCGTACGCCACATTTATGCCAGCCAGGTCGCGCAGGAAGTCGGGGAACTTGATCCCGGCGCCCCGCGTGGTCTTCATGTTCTGGAAGCCATCGTGACGCTCGAGCAGGTTGCAAGTCATAAATTTGAGAGCCGAGATTTGCAACAGGCTGGCCATGACGGGGTCAAAAATGTCGGGAGCCTGACGCAGCAGGCCCGCCAGCCCTTCGAGCATGGCGTTGGGCTGGGTCTCGCCGTTGAGGAAGCGCCGCTGGAAGTGCTGGGCCTCGTCCATTCCGCCTTCATTCTGGCCCACGATGTCGTCGTACTGAACGACGAGCCAGGTGAAGAGCCCAACATAACCCTGCACTTCTATCGGGTGACGGGGATGGCACATCTGTTGCGGGTGTTCCGTCAGCACGCTACTTATCACAATCACATTTTAATCCATGGAGAATTTCCAAAATAAAAACGAGGTATTATTCAAACGTCAAAACGTGGCTTTAGGGTAGCATGAATGGTAAGGAGGTGGGATACATACCGCAGCTAGTGAGAAGCCCAGGCGGAACCCCTTCTGGGACAGAGGGGTATCGAGTGGCCATCCGATCTCGACGGCTCTCTTGTGCATATATTTCAGCAGCGCTTCGACGGACTCGCGCTTGACCCGTGGGACGCCGGGGTACTTGAGGTCCTCGAGCATCTGTTTGCAAATGGGCTTGCAGAGGGCAGCCAGCCGCTTGGGCTCCTTTGCCAGGTCATCTTCGAGGCGGATTCGCTTCGGGGCGCACATTCCCCACACGGAGCTGAGCATCCGGAGCCACGGCTGGGCAACCGAAACAGCGGCGCTGTTGATTCCTCCAGGGCTGAGACCGGGAGGGCTGACCATAATCTTGGGCGAGGTGGACATTAAGGGCAACAAGTGAGAGCTCAAGAGGAGCGAGCTCTAGAGGAAGGGCGGTGGGTTAGTAAGGGCGGTTAATACTGGATATGAATTGTCGGTGTAGGTAGAGTTTAGTCTAGAAGAAGCACAGACAAGAAGCTAATGACCATATCCATGAAACCTCTTGACGGGGGAGACCTGGGCTTTTTATTCCTAACATGGGCTCGCGATGTTCCCATGGACAGGGAGGTCGAGATGAAAGGCATGTGGGTGGCAGGGCATCGAGAGGTTTCCATTTCGAGCGAGGTGCCGGGGCGAAGGAGAAGGAGGAGGCATTCGGCGGTCCAGGTTTGGCTACGGCGGCAATGGTGAGGTGGTGAGCGAGGCAACGATCTGGAAGAGGTAAGGAATAGTGGCATCAGGGCAAAGTGAGAGAAAATGCGGTGCGATTTGATACCTCGATCGCCAGCCATCGCTCCCTCATCCCTAGGTCAAACCAAACCGTTTGACGGTTCGCCGTTGGCTCGTGTGGCATGTGGAGAGGGTTAAGAGCAAAGTGGGCTTAGTCCCAGTTGCTAGTTCAACAACGCTGCAGGTTTGTCCTTCGTTGTTGGAGGTACACTACTTTTGTGTACATACGCTACAATGTGCATTGGTACCGCGGTCTAGCCAGGGCCCCTAGGGAGGACATTACCCAGGCTGGACCGGGTTAACAAGTTGTTAGTGGAGAATGGGCAAGCATTCCCAAGGATCGTGGCCATGCAATGCAGCAAGAGAAAGATGGTGGTGGTGGTGTACAAAGTTTGTGCGAGAGTGGACGGAGGAAGGTCCGTGACGGAGTAGACGATGGATCATGGTGCCAGGAAATATCAAGTGAACTAAGGTCGAGTGCCGATACGCAGTCTCGGGTACAGACTACACTACAGAGTCCAGACTTGAGGTCACAAGAGTGGTGTGCTGTCATGGTGCTGGATGTAAGGGATTGTGTGGGTGAGGTAGGTAGTGTGCTCCGTAGGCGACTCCGTGGAGGGGGGTTTGATTGTGAGATCATCCCGAAACCGCATCAACTCCCGGATCGCATCATGGACCATGGATGTGAAGCTGTTGACGGCCAGGTTTCCCCAAGTATGCCTAAAATGGGTGTATTCCCGGGTTGACGATATATGTGCAGCGTAGTAAGACCGCAAGAGAGGTGGCT